CTCAGCACTTCTCTGTTTTTAGAACTCCTAGTAAAAGCAGCTCAATATCTACCCAAGACAATTTCCCCAAACACGCAACAGTCTCCCTGGAGCAGAAATGCTCCTCTGAGTCAGTATGAGAATGCATGCGACCCTGCTGACATCCAGGCATTATTTTCTTCGGAACTCCAAATATACCACAAGGCCAAGGGCATGTGCTGTGCATCTGGAGGGATGCCAGTCAGACTGGCATCCTCGGCACTGGCTGTTGTCCCCCAAGCAGATGAGCACAATGTTTCTACAGTGTGCTCTCAGAGGTGCAACTCTCCTTTTCTTATTGGATGGGAGGGTACAAAGTGCAGGGCCTTTTTCATGGTAGGCCCACATCTCTAGAACTCCCTCTCCAGGCTTGGGCACTGGCTTGGTCACTGCTGGGTTTTTACAGAACTTTGATGGGGAGGCAGCAGGGGGATTGTTCTAGTCCATGTGTAAGAAATGAACTGTGCTTGAAATGTTTTGTTTTTGTTTTACTGCCTTTAGTGAATGCTTTTGAACTGTAGTCTCTCATATTTCTTGTAGTTCAGATGGCTTTTGTGCTTAAATGTACCGAAGCATCTATCTGTCCAGCTATTAATACAGAGTCTATAGCAGTTACTATGTTGGCAGACTCTTGAAGAACTCCTACCGGGTAAAGTAAGCACCTTCTGTACACAGCATATAGAAACGAAGGGGTTCAAATGAGTTTCAAAAGGCCTAGAGTATGGGTCTCTTGCTCTTTCAACCAAAGGATGCTCGCAGAAGAAAAATGAGAATGCACCTGTGCTGTTACTTGGCAGTCCAGCCAGCATGCAGGGGAAACCAACAATACTGAGTGCAAAAATTATTGGTACAGGTGAAAGGAGAGCGGGGACTAAGAACAAGTGCCAATGAGGCAAACATGTTTCAGCCACAGGTCTAGCTCCATCATTATGGGGGATGCCACTTCTGGCACTCGTATGGCCAGTTTCTTGGGATTTCTTCTTCAAACACGGAGAACCAAGAGAAAGCATCCTCTTGGCTCATTCTGCCCAATCAATCTAAGCCCTGCCGTGGTGCCCCAAATTAGTGCCAAACTATCCTGTGACCTTGGCACTTTATTTTCCACTCTTTGTCCCACAGTGCGGGGGCAAATCCCAAATGATCTGAAACATCTTCATTGGCAGAATCAAAGCTGCCTGTCTTATTCATCTGAAACAGCAATGGGGATTTACATAGACTGAAACTGCCTTCTAGCTGGAATAAATCCCTCTTGGCATATTACCTCAGGCATTGGCCTTCTTCTAACCAGTTCTGATACTGCAATGTCATTAAGTCAGATAACTCTAATCCTTCAAATTTTCATATACCTTTGATTCTGCCTTTCACTTGCATCTTGAATCTTCTCTTCGGTGGATTTAGCCATCAAGTCCCTAGTCTCCATATCTCATTTTTGAAATTTCTCTTCTCGTTGCTTAATCCTAGTAATTCCAAGGTGTGTGCGCGCACGCTCTCTATCTATCCCTTCCTCTCTCTGTCTTCCTCTCCCCTCCCCCCCGCAACACACACTTCCTCACAGCACAATGCACAAACACTGCTTTCCTCACATGTTCCTGAGGGGTTGATTAAAAAAACATGCATTGCCTTTCCAGATATTTTATGCTGGTTTGATGCATTTCTTTTATCTGTTGTGCAGAAGTAATCTGTTGCAGGTTAATTAAAGAACAATAAAAGCATTGCATTTAAAAAGCTTTTCTAGGTTTTTTAAAAATACATATAATTATTTTCATGCTCAAATTGGAGCCTGAAGTAGGTAGGCACAATTACAGGCTTTGCCTCAAAAATCATATAAAATATTTCATGACAGACCATTAATAGTTCAGAGACTACTTTCCAGGGTGGAAAAATACACAAGTTGCCATTTTTGTAATCATGCAAATAATTGCTACAATTTTTCATGAGCCCTTTACTTGAGAAGTGCTCACATGCATAGACCGTGCACTCAAGCAGTTCACCGTGTGGATTAGCCAATGCTGCAACCAACCTTGGCCAAGTTGTAGTTATAGGAGAGTCACTCTTTCTTAGAGGCATTTTCTGGAAAAATACTGTTTGTAAAGTCAGCTATATAGAGCAGTCTTCCCCAGCCTGTTGCCCTCCAAATCTTTTAGATGTCACGTCCCATCAGCCACAGCCCAGAATGACCAACAGTAAGGAGTCTGGGTGTTGTAATCCGAAACTGAGGCACCAAGTTAGGGGAAGTATGAGATAGACTAACAGTGTTGCTTGTTCCACAGGGACAGAAATGGAGAAATTTGTATTCCAGTTGCCACAGAGGTGGCTGACACACCAAGTATTTCATGCTGTCACTAATTTGTTCTGCCCGGGCAACTGAGAAGGGGAGAACTGCCTACTCCACACAGAGAAGGCAACAGACAGGCAAAGCTAGCTGCACCCTTGGCTAGCTCTTGCAGTAGAAAACGAAGTGACTGCACCAGGAAGTCCCAGTGCTATTTCCAACAAGGGGATTCCTCCTGGCTTTCCCCCAAGCCTCCAACAGCCTCCGGGCAGATGGCTGGGACTTGCAAAAAGGAGTGCAAGGGTGGTGGTGGGGGTGGCGGGGGGGGGCACAAAGCAACCCAAGCCCCTGCAGGCTACACAGGAAGCCTGGACAGGTTTTTACTGGTGCGATGTTCTATGCTGCTCTTTAGATTTTTAAAATACATTTTAGTTCTGTTAATATGGATGATGTTGCTGTTTGCAGGTTTTATTTTCCTTAAGCAGCAGCAGCATCTTTTAGTTTCGGAGAGTACATAAATATTCGAAATGCATAAATAATATGGCAAATATATCTTTTTTCCCAAACCTGCCTCTGAGCAAATTCTTTTTACTGATCATGAGGAAGCAAGACTTGTTTTGTACTCTTTCCTTCCAGATGGCACAAAGTGTGCTTCTGTGGACGTGGCCCTTAGAGCACTCCTTTTTATGAGCTCGATTATTGCAGAGCTAAAGCCTTGGGCCATTTGGATTTCAGAAACAGTGCTCGAATAAGCAAAACAATCGCTATAGCTTAGATTTCAAGGGCTAGTGACAGTCATGAAAACAAAAAAGCAATGGAGGTTCCTTGGTATTGGGCCATAAAATGAGTCGCATGTTTCTCTGGGGTGTTCGGAGTGTGCCTTTGTAGGGCTCGCAGTGACACCAGGGGAAACAGCACAACGAGATCCATGTCAAAGGCAAGCCCTTTAACCTGTGCCTTGAAAGAGAGTTCAACAGACAAGAGACTGGGTACCATACTGAATGTACCATCTTGAAGGTTTTCTGGGAAGTACCCTGATGACCAGCCATGGACCTTCAAGTCCACTCAGCTTCTCCGATCCTGGACTTAATAAACATGCCTGAGTCGGACTTGGGAGGAAGTTGCTCAATTTGAGTTCCCATTACAGTTTGTAGGTATTTTATGTCATTCTTAATTTAATTTTTTATTAGGCTATGGTAATTTATGAAGTTTGTTCATCTGTTAAACTGTTTTAAATTTTTGTGTGTTTTCATTTTTGTTGTAAGATGCCTTGAGTAATTTACCTGAGAAAGGAATCTAAGATACAACAGCAACAACAATATTTGTACCAAACAATGGCCACCAACTCAGGATCTTTTCCAGGACATAGCTAAACAAACTTATTGATTACAGATTTAGTTCCAATTTCCAATGTGCAATTTCCCTTTCCAGCAGAGCAGAGAAGCATTTTCTGTGCTGAATAAGCTGGCTATTTATTGTTTGCTTCCCCCTTCGAGGTATTATGTTTTCAAAGATAAATATTACTGTAGAAATTGATGCTTTCAGAGGCAGATACAACTTTCACATTTATTTCATGAAGGGCTTAAAATGTAATGTTGCATATTAATATATTAATGTATTTTATGTAACTGTCTGGGGCTAGCTGTCAAAGGTATGCTTCAGTACAATTTTTGTTTTGTTTTATGTTTGGCTCAGTTAGTTTAGTCACTGGGTCATTGCCTGCAATGCAATCCTATGAATATCTACTCCGAAGTCCCACTGAGTTTGATGGGACCTTCTCCTTCAAGTGTTTCTAGGGTTACAGCCTTATACCCCACAGTTATGGCATAGTAATAATAATTACATTTGATTAACACCACGGAAGCACCATTACACTATATCTGTCGCATCATGTAACATTGACTGTTTCCTTTTACTGCTGTTGGAACTCCAGTAAAAGGTAATTTCAAACATTTCCACCATAGACCCTTCTGCAAATACTGTTTGTGTGGCCAGGACGGTCAAACTTTTTTTGCACAGAGGTTTTCACTGGTCACTGTCATTATCATTTGAAATGTGACAATTTGCGGACCAGACCTTTTAGGGAGCAGCGCTATCCATGGTTAGACAGAAAGAGGTCTTCCTGCTCTCAGTGTGCCCCAGCCAGTATCTTCCCTAAACATGCATAGGATTGCACCCTTAGTCAACCAATTAAAATTCAAGTCAAGTAGAACAATTTAAGCTCATTTGGTTGAAGCTGCCCATCCATCAAAACAAACAAACACACACACAATTGTTTTAATGGATTCTGATAATCATATTAGAGAACACCAGATCAAAGAAGGCAGGACCCCAAAACAACCCCGAAGTTTCGAAAGGTATGCAAAGAGTTTTTCTACAGCAGAGCTGGGTGCCTCCTTACCCATTAGTGGAAATGATAAAGAAGGCCATTATTCAGACAACCAGTGGTAGAAAATACTATACAGAAAATTCTAATAAATTTATTTCTAAATGAATTCTTGCAAAAATTAAACTGATTCAATGAATTCTGCCAGTCATCAGTGATTACCTAAATTCTCCTTGGAATTCTAGATGCAGTTCATTCCAGTGCAGATGGAAATAATAGAAAATCTCAATTTCTATTAGGAAATTGGGTGTTTTGTAAAATATTTTGAGGTTCTTTAATTAGTTAGCTCAGAAATTGTCATATTAATAACTTGTAATATTTTACCTTTCGGTAAACAATCATGTTTGGAGAACTCTCTTCTTGATCAGTAGTTTCCATGTCGCTGGACCCCTGGGCCATGATTAACTGCTTTCTTCACACCCAGGCTGCAAAGGCAAGAATAATATTCAATAGAATACCCAGACGATTAGAGGCTTTGGGATAAATTCAAAAATCCAATGCACAGCCACAGCAAGTGAGTTAAAAATGGCATCCATACTTCTTATTCCATCATATAATGCAAGAATGCATGAGACAGAGAAATATTTTCCTCTGACTGACGGAAGAACAGATGGACAGCCTGTCCTAAGCAGATTGTTGCATGCTCCCCAAATACTGAGAAGATTTAAGGACTGTGCTACAGGTTTTAGTTTACTTTGGATGCAAGATCATTGGAGACAAAGAGTAACCTTTGCATTATTAATAAATGAACAAGAAGAGTGAAAGTAAGGAAAAACAAACAGTCCAAGGCATATTTTCAGAAAGCAATTTAGGCTATCCCCACCTCCTTCCACTACACATATCAACACAAGTTGCACCCACGATTTCAGTCAGAATCCATCTAGAAATTCTTTCAAACAACCAATTACTCCTTTCTTACATTCAGTCTGCACCTCTGTTAACTGGAGAGATGCCACCTTTTTTTAGCATCGATGGAAACTTTATTCAAAGGCATCCATGTTAATTGCGTATTTAAAATATATTCTTAAATATCAGAAGAAGGAAAGCTCCTATAGAGGCAGTTGGACTGTTGGATAATAAGCAAGTTAAAGGAGTACTAAAGGAGGATAAGAGACTACAAGAAAGCTAAATGAATCCTTTGCCTCTGTCTTCTCTGCAGAAGATCTGTGGCAGATAGCCATGCCTGAAGTGACATTTTCAGGGCAGGATTCTGAAGAACAAAGGCACATAGTTGTAACAAGAGAGGGAGTACTAGAACTTACTGACAAATTAAAAACAAAGAAATCAGTGGGCTCAATGGTATCCATCCAAGAGTTCTTGAAGCACTCAAATGTGATTTTTCTGTTCTTTTAATAAAAATATGTAACATCCCCCTGACATTGGCTTCTGTACTGGGTGGAAAGTGGTCAGTGTATCACCAATGCTGAAAAATAGATGCAGGACATGGAAAACAGGTTTATGCAAATTGCATGCTAAATATCTTAATGGCTCTTCTGGAAAATTGGTGCAAAGTATTCTCATTAAACATACTGTCTTCTGGAAAAAAATTAGCATGGTTTTCTGAAAAGGTAAGTCCATACTCATGAATCTTTCAGAGTTCTCTCAGAGTGTGAACAAACATGTGGATTGGATGATCTGGTAGATACTGGCTACTTAGATTTTCCAAAGGCTTTTGACCAAGTCTTTTCCACAGAGATTTGGAAAAGTTTAGCGAGTGGCCAAGAGGTTCTCTTATGAATCTATAATCCATGGTCATCCAGTAAAAACAACCAGAGAGATTTGGGATAGCAGAAGGAAGTTGTTCTCATAGCACATGCTTGTCAGGTCCTACCTGGAGGAGGATTCCTCAGACAAAGAGAGCCAGTGCAATGAGCCCCAGCCACAGTCAGGCACATGGGCTTGTGGCAACGGGTGACTCCCATCTGTTGGAGGAGGAGGAGGAGCCAGGACCCTGGTGTGTCTGACTGTGGCTGGGACTCACTGCACTGGCTCTCTTCATCGGAGGAATCTTTCTCCAGTTAGGACCTGACAGTAGTTAAACTCAGTGCCAGATCTAGGTTTCTGAGGGCCTTTGAGCCAGGCATTCTGAATGAGACCCCTCCCTCAGCAAATCTCCCTCATTACCTCCAGCTGCTCTCGCTCCTCTTCCTCTTTCTCCTTGCTGATAACTCTTGCTTGCTTGACAGGCAAAGTGCCAACAAGCAAGCAGACAGTGGCATCTACTGTTCTTCTTTCACATCACCATTGTTGTCAGAGCCAGAGGAAGAGGCTGGTGAGCAAGCAGTCTGCCACTATAAAGTGGAGGAGCAACTCCAGGGGGTAGTGGGTGTTTGCTGAGGTCTGGGCCTTTGGCAAGTGGCCAGCCATGTATACACTTCATGCCAGCCCTTGTTGAACTATTAAATCTACTACCAGACAATGTAACATTGTCCAGCTTGGATAGTTTCAAAGCGGATAACAGGAATTCATGAAAGATAAGGCTATCTTTGATAAATTTCTGGTCATGGGCATGAAAAAATGCTGACAAGATTGCAGAGCTTGGTGAGCCAAGGAATGAGAAGGTAAAGCAAAAAGATGTCCACCGATTTGATGGGACTCATACCCACAGCTACAAAAATCCAGACATCCAGTAGCATCTAGGTTGTTGAAGATGCCCAGAAGCAGGTTCTTCCTCCTAAGGAAGGTGTTGTTGGCTCTGGAATTTTGCAAAACCATTTGCAGCAACAGCCCCCTCTCTTCCCTCTCCCACAGCTTTGTCAACAGTAGTTGTAGATAAAACCAGATCAATATAACCCATTACCATTTTATTATTTCTCTGCCAGAAATAGTTTCACATAGAACTGGTATATTATAGGCTTTATTTGACTTATAGAGATGAAAAAAGTCAATGTCATTTAGGTGACTATAGTTGCTACTTATCCTTAGAGATATTATCAGAAAGTTGTTTTCCTGTTCCAAACACAGACAATTTCAATTCCATCAAATTATGTGCCTAATTAGAACCAAGAGAAGAAGAGAAATGGAACATTTGCTATTACTTTTGCTAATAGATAAGACATTACGAAAGAGCATCAATATTGACTTTATGCAAAAATAAAGTCAATATTGGCAAAGTCTACACAGTTTCATCATCATTTAGCAAGAAGATTCAAAGAATGAGATCTGTACTTTGTGCCTGTGGGCAGAGAGGCTCAGATGAATGACTATTCCTCAACCATATAATAAAAACTTATTTGTACAGGATAATCCTATACATGTCTACTCAGAAATAATAGCCACTGAATTTAATGGCTCTTACAATAACTGTGTATAGGCACCAAACTGAATGAGATTTATATCTGAATGTATACAGACAGGATTTACAGTTAGAGGCTTTTAATACTCAAGCCATTATAGAACCCTTCAATAACAACAGTAACAACAAAGATAACTATGCTGGCCCATATGTAAACCCCCTGCTGTCCCAGATTTCAGGCCACTTAATCTAAAATCCTCAGTTATGCAATTTCTTTGACGGGGCCAATAAAAATGCCCCAAAAGACTATGCAAACTTTCAAGTTGTCCAGAACTCTTCATCAGGCTAGTTGGTGTAATAGGCATGGAGAAAGAAATAGAAAAGCTCAAAAACTAGCCAAAAACTAGTGACTATGGGGTCTATAGTGTACACTCAATTTCAAACTAGGGATGACACACTGGATCTGGTCTAAGTTTTTAACTGGCTGGTCCTAATAAAGATGGATAGCTTAATGGTGGAGTTTGGGTTCCCCACGTAGATTCTGCATTTTTTATGTCTGATTCTGCATTTTTAGGAGGAGTGTCAGATTTAAAGATGGGAGCTATACAAATTAAGACACTAATGTGGGATATGAGATTGGAACAGAGCATACAATATTTTCCCCATAACATTCAAATGTACTGATCTGACTCTTCTCGAGTGTTGTTACTCACGATAAAATATGGATGGAGGTGCACACTGAGATGCACATGTGATATAGCCAGTAATGCACTGCTGGGAACACCGAATTCACACACACTTCTGATTGATGTCTGCAATTTCCAATTAAGCAAATAACATTTGCTTCTCTGCACAGAACTCCTTAATGAGACAGAGGTGAAAAAATAGCATAGTTTGGTATAGATATAAGAGAAGCAATGCTGAGCTGAAACGGGTTTAGCATGTTCTGCCCTCGGGGCAACTGGATTCAGGGATCTTGGCCAAAACCCCATTCCTAGCACTGATGTCCTATATGGACCTGGACAAGTCACTTTCTTTGAGAACTAACAGGAATGATGAGAGGTCTGCTAAATAGCATCATTGTAAAAAGGTACAGCAAGGCTGGTGTGTGTGAGAGCAGGCTTTGCATAGACGCCTTCCCTGCTGCCTGTGCCATTAAGAGCCAAGGAAGCCACCTGATGCTGAAACAAGCCATTCAGCCACCTAGCCCAGCATTGCTAACACTGACTGGCAGCAGCTCTCCAGGGTTTCAGGCAGGCGCCTTTCCTATCCCTACATGGAGATACAGGTATCGAACCCAGGGCCTTCTGTGTGCAAAGCAGGTGACCTGCCCTGAGTCACAGCATCTCCCCACATGCCCTGGTTCCTTTGCTGCAGCTAAGTGTGGGAAGAGGAGCTGCAAGCATGTCCCCTCCGACTGCTGCAAATCGAGGCACTTCTGGAATACCCATTTTCACAGACCACAAAGCCTCCTCTCCCTGCCCTCCATCAATCCACTCAATGGAGGGGTGGGGGGACTAAACCATGAAGAAGAACAACTCTAGCACCTCACATGAACCTCATTTTAAGAAGGCATCCCCGAAAGGCAAAAGCAGAGATAAGATAGCAATGTACAGGGGACAGGAACTAGAAGCTAGGGACTGTCCCTCGTATACAGGGATAATTGCAGCTTACAGATGCACAGTACTGGCAGGATGATGAACTCTTTTAGCATTATTTACCTTTCTGTCAGTGGGGAGGAAATAACCCCCCCCCCCCATACACACACTCAGCACTGTGCGTCAGTCTCGATTGCAGCTGTTTGGTTTATTTAAGCTACTTCAGTACTGCTTAATGCTGCAGTATCTCCACGTGGTTTACTTAAAGCCACATACAATCGAATAAAAAATCAATATTGAAAAGTGCAAAATAGTAAATAACCTAAAATCTATAACGGGGAAGTTTCATGATTCATTCCAAGTCAGGGATGTGAAAGTTAATCATGTCTTTTCAAAATATGTGCTGTTCCCCAAAGTGGGTGTCTTTGAGAAGGGTTTACCCATGTGGGTTTTCTGAGTCCAGGGCCTGGTGTCTCTGCTTCTGGCTTTTCTTCATGCCAGCGGAGTCAGTCCATTACTCTGTCTAGCACAGAATTGTCTATCCCAGCTCCCACTAACTATAGCCTGCACGGCCAGATCATCTGCAGCACAC